GTTAAGTTTAAGTTAATGGTAATTGTAATAGCCATTATCACAGAACCATTAGCACGCTTGTCTCTATAAGCTGACGCTGATGGCTAGCAACGTGCTGTTAGGTAATGGAAAAATGGTAGAGAAGTAATGGCTGTTTTGGGTAATGGGTTGAGGTGCGGGGTTAAGGGGAGAGTTGAAGGGTAGGCTTAAGGGGAAAGCTAATGGGAGAAATAAGGGGAAGTTAAGGGGAGACTTAAGGAGAGAGTTAGGGGAGAAATAAGGGGGAGTTAAGGGGTAGAGTTAACGGGAAAGTTAAGGGGAGATTTAAGGGGAGAAATAAGGGGGAGTTAAGGGGAGAGTTGAGGGAATAAATAGAGGGAGAGTTAAGGAGAAAATTAAAGGGAAAGTTAATGGTAGAGTTAAAGGGTAGGTTTAAGGTTATTCAGATCAATGGGTTACGACGAACACGGAGATTTAATGGAGTAGGGGCCTTCAAACGTCAATCCAAAGCACCAATGGATAAAGGGTAATGGTCTGTTCTCCATTAACGCTTTAAATAAACCCCTTTGTCTATTAGTGGACATTTAGTGTAGTGTGATAAATATATCTGTCACTCAAAAGAATAAGTGTAACCTTGTCCAAATATCCCTGCAATTCTGGCCTTGTATGGGTTAATTAATTGTTATTAATAATAATTATTTATTTTATTTATTATTTATTTCTATTTATTATATAATTACGTAGGACCGGCAAAAAGGCGTATCGTTGCTACGTGTAGACGAGTGTGGCAATTTATGACACATAATTTTTTCTGGGTGTACTAATGGAAAATAATGGTTCCCTGGTAATGGTAGGGGAGTGTTGTACATATGGAGGCACTCATGGTCCCATATGGAATTTTGTGCTAATGGTGCGAGAGAGAAATTGAACAAGGGAGTGAAGCATTCGAATTTCCTAATGGAGTCTACGTGCCATTATTAAAAAAGTAGTGGACTGTCGAATTTTAAATGCTATATGTAATTATTATGTATTTTTTAATGTTTGCCATTAGAATTGATGATTTATATTAGAGTTTACGCTTATATTACAATTAATGCTTTCCATTAGAATTGATGTTTTCCATCAGAATTTATTATTTCCATTGGAATTGGTGATTTCCAATGGAATTTATGCTTTCCATTAGAATTTATTTTTTCCATTAGAATTGATTATTTTCATTAGATTTGATGCTTTCCATTAGAATTTAATATTTTTATTAGAATTTATGTTTTCCATTAGAATTTATGATTTCCACTGGAATTGATGATTTCTATTATATTTTTAGCAATCTTCGAATATTTTCTAAGTGGAAATGGAGACTTGAGAAACTCCCATTAGCATTCGATAATAATAATAATAAAATAAAAAATAATGATAAAATAATTAATAACGGGATTGTAAATACGAAATTGCGGGAAAAGCGCGTTGAAATCGTTCGATTTTAGCCAGGACTATAAAAAAGAAAACAGAAGATAAAAATAATATATAGGTATATATAGTAAATATATATGTATATATTTCTTCATTTACGAACTTTTTCGTTATAAAATTGAAGAATATTATGTATTGACATTTTAAATGATTTAAAATGCGTGAAAATCAACCTGGAAAGGAAATATGAAAGCCAATGCTATAAAAAAAATTCCATGTTGACCGCATTTCAAATTAAAATTAAAATAATATCTTTTATTACAAACTGGCCGCGGTGTTCTAACTTGTTTATAACATGTAACATCGAACAAGCAACATGTTATGTCACATCCAACATCAAGATGATAACATCATGTGATAGCTTCCATTATATATATGAGCTAATGGAATAAATGCTGAATTTGAAAATGCTGTTTTGAATTGAAGTATATTGAAATTTGATGAAAAATTATAAGATAATATTGAGAAAATACTGGAATAAGTATATCTTTGTCCATTAGTTATTAAATAACATCATCGATTGTATGAGGCAAATACTGTCAACTTCGCTGTAATAAAACTTTCATTTATAAGCGGAGTGTCTGGCCAAATTTTTGGATTTGGCTTTTCTGGTTTTTAGTCTCATCTTTAAGCTGACATTCTGACCTATCCCACGGTACCAAAACCATCTCTGTACGTTGATTTATGCGTTCACGACAGATCGCGAAAGGGTTGGGGTGGTGGAGTTCTTTAAAATTTAACATAGGGTGTTAAGATATCGTAAGTTCATCAGCCAATCATTGACGGCCTTTCAAGCAAAATCCACCAATCATAGACAAGAAAATAGAGCGTAAGTACTTACGTTCATTTAGCCAGTTTTGAAAGTATGGACCCGGAACAGTTAACTTATTGTCACTGCAAACTTATCTCCTCCTAGAGTTTTTAAGCTACAGCAATGAGAGCTATACCGTTCGATTCGCAAATAAAATATTTATTGATTTATTGTATCTTTTTTTCAATTTCGTTATAGTTTTGAAAATATTTTAAAAACAGGGTGGGAAATAGGGGGAATTCGAAAAAATTTCCAAAATTGTACGAAAAATGCTCCCCTACCCACAAAAATTTGTATTTAAAAAACTACGATATATCGATAGATATTGTTTTGATGCATCGAATGATGTGCGTCTCAATAATGTAGCTTGAAAATCCCAGGGTGAGATAGATTTCTACAGTACCCCCTTTTTTGCCCGTTTTCTAAGAATTTCACGTTTTTTTCATTTTTTCGAAAAATTGACATGAATAAAAGCCGTCTATTTTTTTGGTTTCACAAATGTGTACCAAGTTTCAAAGTGATCCGTCTGTATATAACCGAAATAACATTTTCACCAGACGCTCCCCTTAAGTGGTTTATTTTAAGCGAAGTTGACTGCATCATAATCCGATGTAATATCAGCGGTCAGAATCTATTGAAACGCAATAGTCATTCATGATTCTTTTACGTCTTAGTTAGATGTTTTGGACCAAATGATCAAAAAATGCAATAAAAAAGCTAAATGCAAGAAAGTATTTACACATTTGAGGCAAAATAATAAATATAATAAATAAGGCTCCAAAAAATGATATGGGAAATAATGTAATGATTTTCGGGATAGGCCTACCTCGACCTCGGCCTAACCGGGGGGCTGTTCGTGGTCCGAATTCCCCCACTTGGGGGCAGCCGCAAAAAATGTCTTGGGGTAAAAAAATTTCTCCGTCAAAAACTTTTTCTTGGTGAAAAATGTTTGGTGTGGAAAGTGTAGGGGGAGGGTTAAAATTTCGGGTATCAAATAAACTTTTTGTTGGAAATTCTCAGGGAAATGTATTTTTATAGAAAAATTGTATTATTTTTTACTGAAGTAAAGGTCTCAACATGTGAACTGGAAGACAGGAAGAAAAACTTTTCTATTTCTACTGCATTTTCCTCTACAGCAGTCACACTGGCGGTGAACTGATAGGATGCTAGCACCACACATTCAGCTGGCGGTGAACTGATAGGATGCACGCACCACACATTCAGCTGGCGGTGAACTGATAGATTGCACGCACCACACATTCAGCTGGCGGTGAACTGATAGGATGCACGCACCACACATTCAGCTGGCGGTGAACTGATAGGTTGCACGCACCACACATTCAGCTGGCGGTGAACTGATAGGATGCACGCACCACACATTCAGCTGGCGGTGAACTGATAGGATGCTCGCACCACACATTCAGCTGGCGGTGAACTGATAAGATGCACGCATACAATATCTATTATAATTATTATTAGTACTGACAACTTATTGTACGTATTTTCTACAGTCTTAGATGGGGCTGGATAACAAAACGTTTTCTATTATAAACATTTTTTGCTGAATTTCTCAGCCATTTTCTTTGTTCATAAATTTTTCGTTAATTTGCGATTCAATAAAATAATGGACCTTATTGTTGAGATATGCATGCGTATCATGGATACCTGGCACACCACACCGTATCCAGGATACCAGGCACACCGCTACGCTGTATCCAGGATACCAGGCACACCGCTACGCTGTATCCAGGATACCATGGAGGCACACCGCGCTGTATCCAGGATACCAGGCACACCGCTGCGCTGTATCCAAGATACCAGGCGCACCGCGCTGTATCCAGGATACTAGGCACACCGCTACGCTGTATCCAGGATACCAGGCTCACCGCTGGCTGTATCCAAGATACCAGGCACACCGCTACGCTGTATCCAGGATACCAGGCACACCGCTACGCTGTATCCAGGATACCAGGCACACCCCTACGCTGTATACAGGATACCAGGCACACCGCCACGCTGTATCCAGGATACCAGGCGCACCGCTACGCTGNTGCATCCCTCTCTTGCATCCCTCTCTTGCATCCCTCTCTTGCATCCCTCTCTTGCATCCCTCTCTTGCATCCCTCTCTTGCATCTGTCTCTTATACACATCTAGATGTGTATAAGAGACAGGGTCTGGGCGGGGGGAGGTGGCAGTGCTTAGGGCTTTATGAACAAGCCCAGTCAGTGATGCCAACTGGCGCTCCATCTGCTCAACCCGCATGCTGTAGAACGCCGTCCTGCGCAAAAGGTAAGCGGGCGGTAAATGTGGCCGCCTGTACTGATAAATGGCGCAATATATTGGCTTAACATTGCGTGCAGGTGCATAACAGAGGAGAAGGCCCAGAAAGTGGCATGTTTGAACGAAAACTCCTGTTGCGGTGTTTGGTAACCCAAATGTATAAATTACGTGACGTCATTCCGATGGACGCGGAAGCGCAACGCGCACAACTATACTTATACCCCAGGGAAAGCTGGAAGCTGGGTTCTATAACCCTGTTTCTGAACATCGCGTTTGAAGCTTTCGTTCGAATCTACCACTCTCTCACTCTCATTCTATACCCCCTCCTAAAAGATATCCCCCCTTTAACCCCCTCACCTGGAGTCGTCGTCGACGTTGGGGGTGACGCTCCCCGCCCGACTGCCCCCCCGTTCCTCGTAGGTGGGGGCGTAGGGAGGACGGGGGGAGCGCTCGGGGGAAGACCCGTACCCCCCTGCCCCACCACCCCCGGGGTCCCCGACGCGGTCTGAAATTATGACATTATCTGACCAGATATATATACTTATATAACTAGTGTAGGTGATATATATTACAGGTGTACCCTAACAAAATTTAGAGGCACGAGCGACCCTGCATTAGGGCCGCCCAGGACGCGGGGAGCACATAACTCAGCGTATCTTCGTCCGCTCAGAGTTTGAATGGCAGCCTTTGGGCGGCATGCTAGTTCGGTGTGACTCGGCTCGGCCAACCCTTGTCTTACTCTCAGGCAACTATATAGTCGGATAGGAGATTCTGACGAAAAACTTATTTTGATAGGGCGGCCATGCAGCCCCAGAATAACTTAGCGCCTAGAGTAGCGACTATTCGGCCTTCGCCTGGGTGGTCCCCGAATATTATAGGGCATGTGATATATAACTGGTGTAGGTGATATGTATAACTGGTGTAGATGATATATATGACTGGTGTAGATGATATATATGACTGGTGTAGGTGATATATATGACTGGTGTAGGTGATATATATGACTGGTGTAGGTGATATATATGACTGGTGTGAATGATATATTTTACTGGTGTAGGTGATATACGTATATGACTGATGTATGTGATATGTATAACTGGAAAAGATGACAACACGCTATTCCCTATATTGGTTTCTACGTTATTTGCTACGTTATCGTCACCTGGGGAGTAAGGCGAGCGATGTCTGGCCTGTTGTTGTTGTAGTTGCGTCAGGTAGTAGTTGCTGCCTTTCGCCCCCTGCACAAAAACGCCACAATAACATCACCATGATGCCATAATAACGCCACAATAACGCCAAAATCAAGCCACGATAACGCCACAATAACGCCATTATAACGCCAGAAAAACGTCACAGCCACGCTTCAATAATGCCACAATAATGTCATAATAATGCCACAATAACGTCAGCAACAATATCTGTTATTGCTGCTGTTGCAGAACTGTAATTGATTAAGCTGCAATAATCTGTTACTGGTTATCAACTGAGGCGCTTCCTCAGCCCGTTATGTCCCTTAGTGGCGACAAAAGCTGGCAGCAGTACTCAAGAATCCCTTAGTGGCGCCCAAAGCTGGCAGCAGTACTCAAGAATCCCTTAGTGGCGCCCAAAGCTTGCAGCAGCACTCAAGAATCCCTTAGTGGCGCCCAAAGCTTGCAGCAGCACTCAAGAATCCCTTAGTGGCGCCCAAAGCTTGCAGCAGCACTCCAGAATCCCTTAGTGGCGCCCAAAGCTTGCAGCAGCACTCCAGAAGCCCTTAATGGCACCCAAAGCTGGCAGTAGTACTCCAGAATGGGAGAATTACGACCCCACACCTCACCTCGTAGTAGTCGTACATCTCGTGGTCTAATTTTCAGTCCTTAAATTTCCTCTTCTTCAATTTCTTGAATATCCACGAGTGTGTCTTTTCGTATCTTAATGAATTGCCATCGTTCAGATAATGTCCTTAAGACAATTCAAATTTCTTGTCGAATTCTATAAAAATTCGATCGAGTTTCTCCCTCTCTATAAAAATTTGACATTCACTGAACTAAATAAAAACAAAACGGATCGAATTTTCACCAGTTTTGTTGAGCAAAATTATAAATATTTTACTTGAATTAATAAAATCTCTTTAAAACAAACCATGCAACTTGACTAAAAAATTAGGTAATGCCAAATTAATTAGTTTTATATTATATAGAAAAGTTTAAACTAAAAATTCTAGAATCTGGAAAAGTAGGAAAATTTGGCTTTACATTATAATTTTTTTATTGTATAGCGCACGTAGTTTTTCGGAAATTTCAATACTTGCAATTTTTTCATATATTTACGAAAAAAATATTGAAACAATTCCACTTAAGATCAGCGTTTTGCAGGCAAAAACTATTTATTATGAATCGGTTAAGAAAAAGTTAGACGTGAAATATTTGTTATAGTTTTCACATGTACATAAGGCTCAGTACAATACTTTATTATTGACTTAGAGTGATTTGTTATATTATTTATCATATTATTTTTAAATTAAGTGAAGTATTGACTATTTTCAGTACGGTTTCTGTATGTCTAAGACCAAAAAATTCTTCCTGTATGAAGTCTTTAATTAATAACGTGTAAGATAAACACATTTGTATATATACCTCTGATATATACCTCTATTATATACCTCTAACATATTCCTCTAATATATTCCTCTGATATATACCTCTGATATATTCCTCTGATATATACCTCTGATATATTCCTCTAATATATTCCACTGATATATTCCTCTAATATATTCCTCTAATATATTCCTCTAATATATTCCTCTGATATATTCCTCTGATATATTCCTCTAATATATTCCTCTAATATATACCTCTGATATATTCCTCTAATATATTCCTCTAATATATTCCTCTAATATATTCCTCT